TAATTTTTGTCAATGATGATAAGTATTGATTATTTTGATTCCAAATATCTCAAAATCCATTCCTCTCAGCGATTTTTACCAAGAGACCTTTTTTAGGTAAAAAGCGTCGTAAATGTATATTTTTTTGCTCAGTAATTTTATACAGGTACGGACAAAAAGTTATTACTCTTCAAACCAGTTAAAAAATATGTAGGTGGCGACCCCTACATAAAAGAGTCATATTGACAACTAAATCAAATTCCATGTCAAAAAACTCCCAGGAACAAATTTTCATCCAAATATTTCCGTTTGTTTTTGAAATTATTTGGAAAAAATCCGAAATAAAAATGAAATTTCTACACCCTGTATCTTCGAAACGAAGCTTTTTAGGACATACATTTGTACGAACTTTTTTACTTATTTTTATCTGTAGAATATGCTGTCGAAGTTCGATTATGTTTGATGCTTTGCCTAATTTTTTACTATTTTTTCAACTACCAAAAAAAAACAAATGTCAATGTAAAACCTGGTCACCTTAATTCATAAATCATAATCATACGTATAACTAGATAGTCTAATGACTTATATTTAATTAATATATCTAGCTAATTAACTGGTTACTGATACCATAATTATCGCATTAATACTATTAGATACATCTAAAAATCTCGAAAATTATTTTTTGAACAGTAAAATTAAGCATTATATTAATGTTTAATTGATCTATTTCTGTGCGCCATTGAGATCTAAGACAATTTTTTGCCAATTGTTTTTAAATCTTAGGTAATTTTAGTCTATTAGGGAAATGAAACATTATATATTTTATACTAAGGGCTATACAAAGGTTAGTATTGGGTCGAGATTTCCGTATGTAAGAAGAGTACAATGCGTTTATAATGTACTGAACAAAGAGAGGACAGTAAACACGTTGCCAAACGTATGAAATAAACCGAGAAACTGTGCACATCGCTAAGAGACGTGGAAGGGGATATAGCAGATTTGTCGCAGTTGACCGGTCGACCCAATCAATACCTCTGTCAGTACTTAAAGTTCTAGGGAATACGTCATGCGGTCAGCTTCACGATTTAATTACGTCTCGTGATACTTAATTTGTTTATTTATTAACGAGTCGTTGTAATTTCCCTATAGCTTGATTTTTTTAAGTGCAAGCTAGAAACACTTGCATTTTTGGTAAAAATAAGTGGAATTGAGTGGGTGTTCGATAGTGGTCGCGCTATTAGAACTCTGATTCAAAAACCGATATCTCGAAATCTATTGGAAATAATAGATTGTAGTTTTTTCAAAATCTTTGTTAATATATTTCTGCTGTATTTTCTTTGTAGACAGTATGTGAAAATCTTTACCAATAAAAAAAATTACACGATTGCTGAAAATTGCTATGCTCTAAAAGTAAATGGATGGATTGTTTACAATTTTTGAATGGATAAAACAACCTTATCGAATTTTTCTTATGTAAACATATTGTAAAATATCCGATCTTGAAAATAAAAAAAAAGTTTCAATATCTAAAGTGGTTCTTGAGTTATGGCCTGTTATGTGTTAAAAAGTTGAGTTTTTAAATTATCGCGATTACTGACGTTTTCTCGTTATAAAAAAAAATTACACCCTAACGATATCCTTATAATTCCATTTCAGATGCTCAGAAACATGTCTAATGATTTTATCTAGTTATCTCTTGAAAAAAAAGTCTTTTAAAAATAAGCGATTTGCGATCGTGATTTTACTTTACTTGATAGGGAAAGGCGTATCGGCAACGCCGCAACAGCACACCGTCGCGCGTCGCGTCGGTCCGTCGCATTTCTCTCACTCCGACTTAATAAGATCCCTATGCGATTTACTTCCACACATGTAAATGCCGACCCAAAAGTAACAGTTGCCAGTACGGTACAAGAACTTTAAAAAAGTATTCATTAATTTTTGAGGGAGCCTACAACATATTTAAAAATGGTTGATTAAGCTGAAAATAATAAAATAATGATGATGATGATGATACTTGAACTATTTCCAATTTTTTTACAGTAATATTGCCTAAATTCATTTAATCGTTCTCTATTTTCAATAATTTCAATAATCTCTTGCAAAATGAAACACTAATTCACCAGAATACACCAAAACACTTATATTTTTATCACTGGACAAGTGTTTCGCTATCCATGTTAGCACTATCAGCAGATGATTAAGATTCAGTGTGTTAAAAGTATGTTATGGTGTATTGTGGTGACTTAGTGTTTTATTTTGCTGTTGTAATAGTCCAATCAGTGGGGGGCCATTAAAGGCCTCTGCCATACAAAAGGTGGTGTAGTAGTAATTTTTTAATATGTTGTTAAGGTTTAGGTCTTGATGAGAAATCCAAGTTTTCGACCTTGGGGTGCGAACGCTCGAGCCGCCATCTTGAATTAAAGATAAAAAAAACTATATTCTTCAAAATATATCCGGAGCGGTAAATCTTACGATCAAAATGTTGGAATAAAAGTTAGATATCGATATTTTTTCGATGTATCAAGTATAACGGGACATCGTAAAAAGGGCCGAACAATCAACTTCCAGAAAGTGTGGAATTCGGAGATAACCGAATCAATATTTTGGATGGAGGATACCTTTGAAGAAGTTGTATGTCACCATAATGATTCATTGGCGCACATTTCCGAAAAGTACGTTCAATATGTACGGAATCACTACGGTTCACATGCAGTCGTTGTTTTTGATGGATATCCGAGTGACGGAGCCAAAAGGAATACCAAAGCCGCAGAAAGACTTCGCCGATCGAAAAAGCATATATGTCTGCGGATGCTCTCTTCGATGAAACAATGCCCGTTCAAGTTTCCCAGGAATTATTTTTAGCCAACGAAATCAATAAAGGCCGTTTAATTTCGATGCTCACCAAAAAAAATGGAGCAGGCTGCTATTACTGTCAACCAGGCGGAAGAAGATGCTGATGTGTTGATTGTCAGAACAGCGATTTCCTTGTGCCCAAAATTTGATGCTGTTTCGTAGTTGGCGAAGACGTTGACCTTCTCGTTTTGCTGACAGCATTGGCACCGTCTCAAGGAAACATCTACCTCCGCAAACCAGGAAAAGGCAAAATTGCTGAAAGAATATATTCAGCTAATAGTTTAAAACTGGAAAAAGTAGCTGAGAACATTCTGTTTCTCCATGCTTTTAGTGGCTGTGACACGACATCGTCAATCTGCAACCAAGGAAAAATAAAGTTTTGTTCGCTTCTCCAGAAAATAGCAGGACTCAGTGACACCATTGGCATTTTTAAACATCAGGATGCAACACCAGAGGACATCGCAGATACTGGAGCACGCTTTCTCGTTGCTTTGTATGGTGGCAACTTGGAAGAAGACACCTTAGAAGAAATCCAGCCAATATTACAACCAACGTTTTGCTAGATCAACCACAAAAAGTAAATCCAATCTTCCTTCATTGCCACCAACGAAGGATGCTGCGCGGTATCATTCTTTCAGGACATATCATCAAGTCCAGAAATGGTATGGAATCGAGAAAAAAACCTAAAGACTGGGACTGGAAACTGGGCAGCAGTGGGCTTGTTCCACTCACCATGACAAAACAAGCAGCACCCGACAACTTATTGAAATTCATTTCATGCACTTGTAGAAAAGCATGCGGCGCAGCATGTGGTTGCAGGAAAGCTGGGTTGAAGTGTTCCGTTGTATGTGGCTTCTGCAGTGGTCAGTCATGCGAAGATGACCAAGACTTAACAATGGAAGAGCAATATATTCCCATGAGCACCGATTACGATGACACCGCAGATAATACTCAAATACTTTTTATGTTGAGCGTTATATTTCAATGAGACATATGAAGGTTATAACATATTTTTTTCGCTCCGTGTCACCGTGGCACTACCTCACCAGCCGCTGCTCTTTATACCTATGTAAAAAATAGCGAGAATTTCGGAAAAATTACAAAATTGGGGAGTTTTTCTATTTTTTTGGAAAATATGTTCAACTTTTCGTCACTGTAGCTTCTCTCCAAGATGGCGGCTCGAGCGGTCCCACCCCAAGGTCGAAAACTTGGATTTTTTGTCAAGACCCAAACCTTAACAACATATAAAAAAAATTACCACTACACCACCTTTTGTATCGCAAAACACCCCACTGACTGGACAATAACACCAAATGTTCCACCCCCCAACTGCAATTTTTAGTAATCTGTTATTGATAGTACTATATAGGGTGAGTCTTAAATAAGTGCAAATATTTTTAGGACTAGTGTATTTCGACCCCAGAAACACGATTTAAAGTTTTTTTTCGCGAAAAAAAAAATAAATTTGGAAAAAAAATTGTTATTTTTTTTAGTTTTTGGTTTGGTTTCAAACCAAAAACATAATTTCTTGATAATATGGCAACAAAGGGAGTAGAACTTTTAAGTGTTTATTTCAGTTAAATCTACAACTAAGAAAACCCAGAAACGAGCCCAGAAAAGATCCAGTGATTCTCAAAATTTAAGCAAAAAAAAATATTTTTTTTTGGAAATTTTCGAAGTAAAATTACTCGGTTATTTTGGACTTATTTGAAAAACGGTAAAGAGAAAATATGTTTCTTTTATCAAGATCTACCAGCCCAGTAAATATTTGGACTTATTTAAGACCCACCCTGTATAATAATACCGCCAAAATTGTACGATATAAAACTAAGAAACATTAACTTGATTAAGTATAATACAGTTGTTATCAATATTTAATATTTTTATCTTTAAATTGCCAATAACACGAAATATTTTTTTATAAATAAATTATAATTAGTATAAAAGTTCTGCCATCATTTTTGGAGTATGTGAAAAAAACAAACCATAAAAATGTATTTTAAACACAAACTCTGAAATTATTAACTAATTTCAAATGATTTTATCTTTTTTTAATGTCAAAACATATTTTGACCCTACAATATCATATTTCCATAGTCACGTTATCACTAGACACATTCCTAGAGATTTATCAATAAATTTAAATAATATTAAAGTTATGGATTTACCTGAAAATTGAGCAAGTAGTTGTATATCCCCAAAATTAATCAAAAACACCAAAAAAAGACCACGTTTCACACACACCGGTACGCGATAAGAATAACAAATCGAAATACGGCAAAAACCAAGTCGTACCGGCTTCCTCTCTTTGCTAAGCAGCAGTAGAGTACCCGCGCCAGCCAGTAACGACCAGAGTACTACTGAATTGTTCGATAAAAACGATCGAAAATTCGAATGAAAACTGCTACACCGCGCGCTATACCGAAGTGCTGAGGGTACTGCTGATAACTCGGTCCGATTGAGTTCGCTTTCAGTGGAGTACCTGGCCGCACCTCCCACTATGTGTATATATATATGTTCAAATACGATTTGATTGTTTTTGGGAATTTTCGGTACCGTTTTGGACTTTGGTCTTTCCGAACTGGTCTTTAACTCATTCGTTTTGTTCATGTTTTATTTGTTGCTTTTGGGATTGACGATTATTGAGCGGGTATATGGTTTTTCTAAAAAAGATTTTGGATACTTTCCGTCCATTTAAATGTCATTTGCCATTGATTAGTTTTTGATTACGGCCTGACGCAATTATTAAGATATAATTTGAGTTATACATTAAAACGTTTTCCAAAAATGTTGAATTAATAACGGAATAATAGGGGTTTTTGACATAATTATGCCTTGTGACACTTAGCAGAATAAGTATACTGAGAGAATTTAAATTAACAATTTAGCACGTTTATCTACCTTGCTATCATAATTTTCAGCTTATTCAATCATTTCCAATTATGGTGTGGCCTCCTTCCTATCTTTGTCTTCATGGGATAGAAAATCCCATGTAAATTTTAATGGGGTCAATTATTGGCTTCCCTAATTATTTTAGAGAATAATTCTATGTAGGTTTATTGAAGAGCACTAAAACCCACATTCAAAAGAATAACTTTAGATATTTTTGATTAGCCCGTTTACGAGTTATCGCTGATTTCTTTTTAATATTTCTCCTTTCTTATGGCACTGTATTTACTTATGAGCACCAGTCAAGGTAAAAGATAACTGTCAAATGAAGTTGCCATTTCAGAAATTTATCTATTTAGTGCTTTATTATTATTATTAAAAACTCATATCTACATCGAAAATATTAGCCATGAATTACACTACCGAAGAAAAAGTATTAATGATTAAATGGTATTATCAAGGAAATAGCTATCAAAAGGTGTCGGACATGTTTGCTGCTCTGTATCCGAATAGACCGATACCTGGAAAATCTACAATCGCAAGGAATATCCAGAGATTTGAGACCAAAGGTACCCTAATAAATAACTGCAGATGTGAAGCAAGACAAAGAGAAGATGCAAGAAATGATACCGACTTGGAAGTTGTATTGTGCGTGGAAGAGAACGATGAAAACATCAGCGCTAGGAAACTTGAGGATGAAAAAAAAAACCCAGAGGATGCCGCTAGGGAAAATCAGGAAGTTTGGTACCAAATGGATGGCTGCCCGGCACATAGTACCCTGGCTGTTCGGGAATATTTAGACAATAGTTTTAACGGAAACGTTATTGGCCTAAATCATACAAATTATTTCTTTCTCTGTGGCCATTTAAAAAAACAGGATATACAAGGATAAAAAATACCCAAATCTAGACGAGTTAAAAACCAGTTTACCAACTAGCGAATGTAAGAAGAGAATTTTATGATCGCCTGGGTTATTGTCTAGCAGTCGATGGAGGAATATTTGAACATCTTCTTAAATCCTAAAGTTCTAACAATTTACCTATATTATTATAACAATAGTACCTAAATTAATAAGTTATTGAATATTGTAATAATACTATAATTAACCTTGTAATTGATTACTTTATTTTACTTTAATTCATATTAATTTGTATTTATAAATACATCTTTAAGATTTCCGATGTAGGAATGAGTTTTCAATAATAATAAAGCACTAAATAGGTAAATTTCTGAAATGACAACTTCATTTGACAGTTATCTTTTACCTTGACTGGTGCTCATAAGCAAATACAGGACCATAAGAAAGAAAAAGAAGAAATATTTAAAAGAAATCGGCGATAACTCGTAAACGAGCTAATCAAAAATATCTAATGTTATTTCTTTTGAATATGGGTTTTAGTGCTCTTCAATAAACCTAAATAGAATTATTCTCTAAAATAATTAGAGAAGCCAATAATTGACCCCATTAAAATTTACATGGGATTTCCTCTGTCCCGTCCGACGATGCAACACCCGGTATACCATGCCAAAGAACTGTTTTTATTGGTAATATTAATATTTACTTTTTTATTTTCTTGTCTTTTTTATTGTTCTATTAGTGTAACTTTTTTTGACTCCAACTTTGTATATTTCGTTTTATTTACGTTTGAGGTTTTATTGAATCTACGTTAATTATATAGATTATTTTTGGATTTTCTGAATGAGATTTAAAATAATTTCCATTCATTTAATTTCAATTTTCCATAAATTACTAAACAATTAGGTACTTTTTAATATTTTTCTAAATTAAATAACATGTTTTCCAAAACATATTGTCATAATTTATAAAGCCGTGATTAGTAATTTTCTTCCAAATGTGTTTAAATTATGATTGTTTTTAAATTGCCCATAAAAAATACATTTCTTAAAATAATTAGGAAATAATTATTATATTACGCAATTTTTATTTTTAGTTGTAGGTACTTTATTGTATTCTACCGTATGATCGAATAAAAACGGCGTCAGCGATGGCTATGAAATGAAGATCGCTGTTATTTTATATGTAAATTTATATGGGAAATGTAATCGATCTTCATTTCCCAGCCAACTGGACGCCGTTTTTTTTCGATCATACGGTATATTAATGTAGGTGGTAGGTAATTATTATTAATTTCTAAATATTAAATTTTACCACATAATTTGTGCATTTCATTAAAAATGATATGAAAAAAATCTTATATGATTAAATTTACCAAAGTTTGCAATGACACAACTAATATATGTCGGTATATCACAGAGTTAAGGAAACTACAGGTCGCACAACACTCAATAGAACGAAATATGATGGGAATAACCAAGAAAGACCGTAAAAGACCCAGGTAATAGATGTCATCCACAGAATCAAATCCCTCAAACGGCAATGGGCAGGATACCTGGCAAGAAGGATGGATAACAGATGGACCAGAAAAATTACAGCATGGTACCTACGACGAATTAAGAGATTTAGAGGATAACCAAACCTGAGATGGAACCAGATGGAACCATGATATCAGGAAATTAGCAGGGATAACTTGGGCCCGGATTGCCAACAATCAACAACAATGGGTCCAATTACAAAGAGAGTATCTGAATATTTGAGGAAGGCTACACAATTATTAGAAATGGTTTAAAAAGCTGAAAATGATGATGATGACAATATTTTTGATAAAAATAGATCCTACATTTAAAAAAAAAGAGATTAATTAGTATGAATTGTATTCTTCTAACACATTGATACAAAGTATACGTAAGTAAATAATTTAAATATAAAACAGTCTATAACAGTAAGTAGATTTATGCAGCATATATTATGCCTACTGAATAAAAAATAGCATTCTTCAGACGCTGCTACTGACTCATTGTCAGGTAATGCATACCTACTTATCGGTTTTTCCCAGTCGTATTTAATTTTTACATTACTTTTTTCAAGACATGCGGAGTTCAATCACTGCAGACACATAAATAACCTTTTCTGGGGTTTCTGAACGTTTCCTTCCATCGTCCTTTGCATATTTAATTTTTGCAATCAAATCCAAAAATCTGCTGTTTTTGTTTGAAAGTTGCCAACCGGTTTTAAAACTAGAGGTAAACAAAGTTGGCTCCTTAATTGCGTACATAAATTAGGGTAATCTGCAAACATTATTTGACATTTTAAGGGCTGCCTATAGTTAGGAGAAAAAAATAAAGAAAATAATACACAATTTTTACAAAAGCTTACAGAGCGGATTATGGCATGTTTCTTTATTTACATATATTGCGTGTTTAGCTTTCATGTAATTAAAGGATAGCCAGACATTGTTGCCATATATGTACATGTTCGTGCGAAACATATCTATCAGTGTTTTATTGATTTATCTTAATAAAGTGTTTATTCTCCAGAGTTGTCCGAAATGTATTCCGGAAACTTCAGTGGCATATTCAGATAAAAATAAGTAAAAAACTTCGTATAAAAATGTATGTCCTAAAATGCTTAGTTTCGGAGATACAGGGTGTAGAAGTTTCATTTTTATTTTGATTTTTTCCAAATAATTTTTGAAGTAACGTCAATATTGTGATGAAAATTGGTGTGTGGGAGTTTTCCACATGGGCGCCACCTACATATTTTTTAACTGGTTTGAAGAGCAATAACTTTTCTTCCGTACCTGTATAAAACTACTGAGTAAAAAAATATACTTTTAGGACGTTTTTTACGTAGAAAAGGTCTCTTGGTAAAAATCGCCACGAGTAATTGTTCTCGAGATATTTGGAAACGAAATTATCAATACCTGTCATCATTGGCATAAATTAAACATACTGACTAAATAGTTACTAGATTGAAATAATAAATTTGAAATGTTTTTATGTTCAACAGAAACTATTTAATCATCATTTTTTCGGAGAAAAATTTATGATTAATTTAAAAAAAATAAAAAAAAAGTTCCCAAATTCGTCATTTCAGTCAAATAACTATCTACTCAATACATTTATTTTTTGTCAACAATGACATGTATTGACTATTTCCATTCTAAATATTTTGAGAACGATTGCTCATAGCAATTTTTACCAAGAGACATTTTTATGTAAAAAATCATGGAAATGAATATGTTTCACTCAGAAGTTTTATACAGGTACAGACAAAAAGTTATTACTCTTCAAAACAGTAGTTAAAACACATGTAGGTGGCGCCCTCTACAAGTAGGAGTCATAAAAATGACAAAATCAAATTTCCTTTGTCAAGAAACTCCCAGACATCAATTTTCATCCAAATATTGACGGTACTTTACAGAAATTATTTGGAAAAAATCGAAATAAAAATAAAACTTCTACACCCTGTATCTCCGGAACTAAGCATTTTAGGACATACATTTATAGGAAGTTTTTTACTTATTTTTATCTGCAGAATATGCTGCCAAAGTTTCCAAAATACAGTTCAGACCACCCTGTATAGGTATACAGTATGATCATATAGAAATATAGCTCTTCGAGTTAATGGGAGTAGATATTTAAATGTTCTACCTATTTTTTACAATCATTCATGACATAAACTTGTATGACTGATATCGGACATGGAGAACTAACCTCTGTAAAACCTTCTTAGATA